GATTTATTTTTGTATTTTAGATTATAATTACTTAACAGCCTTTACACATCTAATATATAAATATTTAAAATTTAATCAATAATAGACCAAAGCCAGATACTTTTTATTAAATACATTTTATTCTTATACAATTCATACATCTTACATAATATTATATTTAATTTATGAATGGCAAATTATTTATAATAAGACAATTTAAAATATATGATACTGATGTTATTTATTTAATTAATAGAAATTTTCAAATAATTTATTGTTACTACTAAGTTTTAGTAACTTTTGTATTCGACAACCTGAGTATGACCTAAAAGTTACCCTATACTATTCTGATAAAAAAAAAAATTGTACAAAAATAATGTAATAAACCACAATTTCAAATCTAAATGAAGATTTAAAAATGAATTATCAATATCAATGATTACCTGTATATTTATTTCATCATTCTTTAATTTTTTTTTATCAAATTCGATGACGACTCTTATTAAAAAAACTAAACATAAATAAGTTTATAGGAGCAATTCAATTCAATTCAATGAAACTTATATAATGAAAATGAAATGCGATATTTTTAATAAATTCTATAATTAATAAAATGTAAGTTGTCGACAATTAATATAAAACAATTTTTTGTTTATTAAAAAGCTGTATATATATATATATATATATATAATTGTAAAATAAATATATCTATTAATGCTTCTAAACACCGAAAATATTTTCCAACATCTAATAACAATTTTTTTTTTCGTTGAAAAATTTACTATTTCTTTGGTTTTAAAATTAAACATATAATTTTATTTAAATTAGATTCATAAATATTTTAATCTCTATTCATGAATGAATGTATGAGATTAAACTTGTCATTCCACAAATTTACGACCAATATAATGGATAAATATATTTTGTAATATTTTATCAGAAACTTTTTGAATATAAAATTTAATTTATTAAAGCACGTTTAAAAAATTATTAAATATATTGATATAGAAAGATGTAGAAAAATATATTGCAAATAACGATAACTATCAATTAAAGTACTTTTGCTTCAATACTAAATAATAAATTTTAAGCAATTTTAAGTAATTCTATAATTGAAAATCCTATTTACGACGAAGTACATAGAAATATTAACAATATAAGTGCTTTAAATAATATAAAGTAAAGGTTAATCTTCATAATTCTAATTAAATATTACCTATATACTGTAAAATCTCATAATATAGAACATTTATTATTATTTTAAATAACATTAGACGTACGACAAAAGAATTAAAAAGTAATCTTTTCATATTTTTTATTTCCCAATACAACTAACTACACGGTAACATATATTATGGTAAACTTTTGAAATGATAATTTTACGTTTAATTGTCAATTTCTGAATATAGTTATCAAATTTTACGATTAAAAATTTCTTAAAAATGTAATATATCTAGTAAAATATATTAATTAATCGAATATTAATGGATGCGATAACGAACTATTAATTATAGCATATTGAATAAAATATAATAATTATTACTGAATTTGTTTTAATTATTAAATACGAAGGACTTTCTCGTGTATTATGAAATAAACGTATATTCTGGTATTTGATCATTAAATTAAAATAAAATTTATTAATCAATATTATAGATAGCCGCAAATAGATTAATTCCATATTTAATGATAGAATTACACATTTCCATTATGCTACCCTTTTCTCAATTTTAAAATTAAAATAATTATAAATTTTTCTAATATTAAAATAAACTCTATGATTTATTGTAAGTTAGAAAAAATATAAATTTCTTTACTTAATTTTTAATCCAAACATTTTGAGAATGTTAGTATCGTCTTTATTGCTAGATATAATTTATTTATCTTCAATATAGACGCGTTTTATGAATATTGACTGTGCTGTTCTATTCGGGCGATAAATTATTAATTTTTGTTTCACATTTATCTAAATACACGTATGATTTGGTAAAATTTTATTTATTACATATCAAGCAGTTGGCAGGAATAGAATCATTTATTAACAACGTATTATTAATAAATTTTATTATTTTAGCTATATTGAGCTTTTGTAACATTCACTCGTGTCTTTTAGCAAATTGTTATATATATTTTCTTGCGAATAATGTAAGAATGATCATTTCTTTCAAGTATTTAGGGAATAAATTTAAATTCAATTTCCAGTATATAATATATAGTTCAGCGGAGTTTGTCTAAATATGCAATATATGTTGCATCGAATCAATATATAATAATTATTCTCGAAGTAAAGAAATATTTTTACACTCTAATGGTACGAAAGAAATAGACGGTAGTTATGTGCTGTTATAGCTTATTCAATTTTCGCTAGATGAACAGTATATTACAATTGAGATTATCCAAATAAAAATATTTATTAGATTTTTAATAAATTAGATTTTTAATGTTTAAAATACAAGCTTTATTTATGAAAATTTCTCTCAAGTTATTAATGCATCTCAATCATAATGTTTTATCGTAGAATTTAATCCGTGAATAATCTGCGAAAGAGTCTAAAACTCGTATTCTGCACGTCAGTATGATGATGAATTTGAAAGCTAATACAATGCATGAAAGCAGCTGCTATTTCGGTAAAAATTACGCAGCGATAGCAATAGAAGAGGCATGTGTACGTGTGCGTGTATATATATATATATATATATATATATATATATATATATATATATGCATAAGCAAAAGTGTGTTTTGTCAATTGGCGATGTATTTTAACTTTTGTCGACATGTCAGCAGAGTCCAATTGACATTTCTGTTTGCTTCGTATTAAAACAAAAGAACACCATCGATAAAAAAAAAACAACAACAAAAAAAACAAAATACAAAATACAAAATACAAAAAAAACAATATAAAAATAAGGCAAAAAAGAATGTAAGAGTAGAGAAAGCAAAGCTGAATTCGAGTGACTTTGCAAATCGATTCTAATAGCAAAGCAACGTAAATTTTGTAAAGCTTGTGTATACACGCGTCTCTTTCTATTATAACTGCTTTTCTTGCTGGATGCACGCATTATTGGGCGAAGCCAAAAGCCCCCTAAGATTGGCATATTAAAACAAAAAGGAAAAAAAAAGAAGAAAAAAAAGAAGAAGAAAACAATAGGAAATGCACGATCCTTCATTCTACACCTATTTCAATCTCTCTCAAAGCCTCTGTCTAATATACCATTATCAGGGACCTTTTGACCATGCTCGACTGTGTGTACCTATTGCGCAAAACGGGAAAAAGAGTCTGACCCATGAATGAATGGTCGAAGCGAGGGGATGAGTTTCTGAAATAAAGAATATCAGTTCATTTCATTTTCTAACATTACTTTTTTCCCCCAAAATCTCTTTATTTTATTTTACTCTCTTCATACGCACTTATGCACACGTACGGACACGCGCGCGCGCACCCGCCCACACCCACACACCCACACACACAAACACACACACACACACACACACGCACGCACACGCACGCACGCACACACACACACACGCATCATTAACATTGCGTATAAAATAAATTTCGGTAAATTTGACAGAATAATTTGATTTCTTTTAATACTTATTATATTTTCTAAATATACATTATTTTTTTAAATAAATAAATAAATTTTAAGCAATGGTAATAAGAATATCCATTGCCCTCGTAATAATTGCTCTCATTATTTATTATTCTGTTTGTCTGTTCTTTTTTTAAATACTTTTCATGTATTTTTTTTTATTATGCTTGTTACATATCGTCATAGGCGACAACAATTACACAATTTCAATAACATAATCAATACAAATTCATGGAATTACGTAGGGATATGGGCTGATGATTGAGTATTGTAGTAAAAATATAATTATACATACGAAATTTTAATAAAACTTTTGTTGTATTACTCGATAATTGTAACGTAGACAATGCAAAATATTAGTATAGAAAATTTTATATACATTCCGATTGCTCTTTTAATTTTGTATATTAATATTTAAAATATTTTACGTAATTATATCTAATTGAAATAATATAATATAATATAATAAATGGATCGTTGATTTTAACTATTAAAATAATTCAAATAGCAAAATAATTAAATAAATCATCAATGTTATCTGTATAAAAATTCTATCATATTTTATTATTTTTAATTCATTTAATAATAATGATTATAATTGAATGAAACGAAAGTTATTATTAAAGTTTTAATTTCAAATTACTTCAATTCCGTTGTAGTTAAAAAATTGTTTGCAAATATTTTCCAATAAATACATAAATATTCATTTTGAAGGGATATAAGTTGTTAATAACAATGTGTTTTCTATTCTTTACATACAATATTTACAATTTAAAGAAAATATTTATATCTATATTATATTTATAATAATATATAAATATACTCTGTAATTCATAAAATTGTAAAATATTGTAATTTAATGTGTATGTATGTATAATTCGGATTATCACATTATTAAAAAAGAAGTTTTTTGAAAAATTATACAACAATGAGCTTATTGGTATAATTTTATGAAATTACCCTTTTAATCGATCATATTGTACATGAAATTACAAATATGAGATATATAGAATCAAATTTACCGTATTTAATACGTAGGCAGAGTAAAAACTGCACAGTATGAGTTTGAAGTGGAACATAAACTGCAAACTTCAATAATTCCAAAATATTTAAATGATTTTCATATTTTACCACTACTTTATATGGAAATATTATTTATCTCTTGTATATATCCAAATATTCATATTCATACATATATGCTTCAGCGTACATCTCTCTCTCTCTCTCTCTCTCTCTTTCTCTCTCTCTCTCTCTCTCTCTCTGTGTGTGTGTGTTCGTTTGTATTTGTTTCTGTATAATGTTAATATTATAGTTATGTGTAGTAACCGAATTAAATGTAGAAAAATTATATTAAACAGCGAAAAGATCATAAAATGCAAGCGCTTCTAACAAATGAAATAATAAATGTATAATTGATTAACTTACCGGCTGTCCTATTCCAATTTCTTGCATTAGACGAGGTGTTTTGCGTTGCGGACGATACTTGAGGCGAACATAGCGATATATCGAGGGGATTTGTCGTAACATTGATGTTTGGTTTCGTAATTGCTCCAGTTAATCCCGTTGCAGTTTGAACGGAATTTTTCGATTCTGTTGAATTCACTGTAGTATCAGCAAGACTCTTATCACTCGTTTGTTCATTGCCGTTGTCATTGTTAGTTTTGGTGGACGTGCCATTAATTATCGGTTCTTGGCATTCTTTTCCAGTCGTTGTTGCTGTAGTTGAATCCGCGCAAGGCGAAGAGTTTTTAAGTTTGTCTTTAGCAGCAACTAAAGCTAGTATGGAGCCAATTTGGTGCAGATCTGGTTGACCTGCATCTACGGAACCTCGAACCGGTTGGCTGAAAATTTTCCAAAGCAGGTATCCATTTTATATAAATAAATTTTTTTCCCAGATAATGGTGAAATAGATATAGTTGAGAATGTTTCTATTTGTACGAAATTAATTTTTGTTTAAACTTCTATTATTAATATATATATATATATATATATATATATATATATATATATATATATATATATATATATAATTTATTAATTAACTTTCGTTATCTTGAATAAATAAATTTTTAAATGTTAATAATTATATAATTTTTATAGAATTACTTTTAAATCGGTAGGGTATTTAATTTTAAATATTGAGAATTGTGTTGTCTCTGTAGATTTTTAACGAAGAATAGTTTAGGTAGAAATAAAAATTACCACGATAATTTTACATTGGATGAAAATTTTCGATACTATTATTCAAACGCATTTATATATTTTATTATTAACATATAAGAATAAGGATCATTCATGAAACTTATAGAATGGTAATTAAATTCTTGAGCGATCTTTTAATCTACTATTGACTTGAATTGTCTAAGCTCGATTTTAAATTCTCAGTCCATGTTTGGCAAATAACGACTGCAACTACCATTTTTGATTGCTGACCTAGTAACTTGGGTCTGAGCTTCCGGCTTTGCAACTGTTGCCAGACTTTCTATTTTTCCTTTCAATTCCTCGACGTTCTTTGATATCGACGACAAGAAAATCTAGGATCGCATCGCATTGCGCAGAGTTTGCACTTTCTGCATTTCCGTTTATGCTATAATCTTTTAAAAGTTATGTGTGTTGGATGTCATCGAAACATGAATCTAAGATTCTGACGCGTGACGATACATAAAATAAAAGAAATATACTTGACATTCTATTTCCCTTTATTTTTCATCTTTTTTTTTTTTTACGTAAATCATTGGAACTCATTGCAGATCCGTTAGTGCAATAATATTGAGTTTAATTACATTGTAAATATGATTTATGTTTTTTAAATAAATAAAATAGGCATTTTAAATAAATACATTTATTAAATTTATTGAAACATATTATTAAATATACAAAATTCGTTAAATATATCTCTAATAAAATGTATGTTTAAAATTTAATTGTTTGATTAAGAATCTTGGTTTTTTAAATTCTAAGAAATAATTTTTATTTAAGACCGGAATTAATATTTTCTGTTGAGTGAAGGAAATACTAAATAAGTTTCATTAAATCAAATAGACTCGTTTAGACAGTAAAATCTATGTTGTTTGTTTCATTACAGATGGCTTCAGCCGATTAATCAACCTTATTTATTATTTATCATAATAAATAATATAAAATAAAATATCATTTGCTTTGCATATGTATAATTATGGGATTTCAAATTAGTATTTTTGCATTCATGAATATCTATGTGGTGGGCAAAAGGAAAATTTAAATTGCAGATTATAATATATTTATTTTGGAAGTAGTCTTAAATTTGTAAAATATATCAATTTCATTTTATAGAGCCAAATTTGTTAACAAAATCATAAATATGGCTTTAACGTATATAAATGTAAATGCTGCTTTAAGGAGAGACATGACGAATTGAAATAATTTTTTTTCTTTTTAAGATCTTAAGATCAAAGACAAATATTCAAAGAATAAGATAAAATATGCGACAAAGAGAGAAAGAGAGAGAGAGAGAGAGATATATCTAATAAGTGAACAATTTAGATGGATGACATAGTTAACCCGTTTGCTTATTTTGTTTTTCCGTTGCTCTATAACTAAAAAGGTAAATGTATTGATTGCTGTAGGAGTAGATGGATAGTGCAGTAAACTTGTTTTCTCGTCACTATTTTTATCACTTTTTACTTTTATTCAACTACTATATCAATATTTTACTTTGAAACAATTAACTTTGCATATCCAATCTACTATATTTTATAATTTTCGAATATTGTGGTGAATTAAATAATCATCTTATTTTGTTACTTATATACAAGTTTTTTTTTTTTTAATAATATATGTAGTTGAATAAATAGTATTTACAATATTTTCCTAAAAGTTCATTTGTAATATTTAATGTTAATTAAAATATAAATGTAAACTACTTTAGATAAATAAATATTATATATTATATATATATATATATATATATATATATATATATATATATAATTAAAAAGTTTATTAAAAGAATAATAATACTTTTTATTTCAATATTATTACAACGCATATATATGAATTATATTACCTTTTCAATCATTCATATGCATTATATTCTATGACCATTTGTTTTATTAAATATTCAGTAATTGTTCAATTATTTTTATTGATTGATTTATTTCATTTTCAAATATATAATTATCGATAACTGATACAGAAAAACATTACAATATATCGACATAATATATATTTATATGTTTTATCAAAACCCTTCGTGTTCCAGAGAAAATTTTCTTTATGCAAAAGAAAATTTATTATATATACAAATAATAATTTTGCATAAATATCAGAGAATATTATATAAATTGAATATAGAGAATATAGAGTGTAAAAGTTACATATTTGTTGATTCGTTTATCCATCTATCGGATAATCTAATAAAGTCATGCGAATAGTAATTACAAATGATTTTAGTTTATGAGATATGTCGTTCGAATTACAATATTATACTAAATCGATGGACACGATTCTGAAATTCTATTATAATTTTGAAATCGAACACAAAGATAGTGATTATATTGAGTTTTTATTTTTAAAATAATATTTATATAATAACATTAAGTGATTTTGCTTTTTTTTTCCGTCTTGTGTAATTATTGCTTCTCAAATGAAATATTTACAGATAATTTATTATTATGTATAATTAAGAAATAGTTATACTAGAAACGTAAATTATATTTATTATTGTAATAAATTTAGAAAATAATGTTAATCTATAAAATTTGTAAATAATGAATTTCAAGAAGACATGACTCTCACTTGATAAAAAATGAGAATTTAACTAAATTTACTTTGTGCCGTAATATTGTAATGGGATCTACTTATTCATTCTCGTAGCTTTATGGGATTAACAAAAAAGGGCTTAATCTACACGAAAAAAAAACATGGTCATTCACTAGATATTTATAATTATTTTAATTTTATTACTTTTTTTTTTTATTTCTGGCGCAAATGAGAGATTCATAAGGTAATGTTAATCAAAGTTTTATTTAAATGATTTTGAGGTGATGTAAATGTTTAATGGTATTATTTCATAATCAATATTAAGGATATTCGAATATTGATTTCTGGAAATATTTTCTGAAAGTTGGTTGAGTTGGAAACCAATATAATTAGTTTTTCGTCTGTTAACTAGTTTGGTGACTTGATTTCATATTATCGAAAGTCTACTCACACGATTGCAATTTCTGTTAAAGATATATTTTATTCTATTGGAATTTATATTGTATAGCAATTTTTATGAGATTTTCGTATATTCTTTGCGATTCCTTATACTATGTGCTTGTAATTAAATGAACGTCGATAATTAATATTTATGAAAATTATTAGTATCTAGAACTAATTAATGTGCATGACGCACATTATATAACAAAATCGATCGTTATGTAAACATATGTAAAATTACTTTAGACTTTAATAATTCCAAAGCTAATTGTAATAATTTTCCAGTATTTGTATAAAATTCGATACATTGCCAATCGATGCACGATTATATCATTATCGTATTATTATATTATAAAAATTGTCAATATCATAGCTATTGAGGCTAAACGATTTTGTTCAATGTATTTGATTATTTATAGAAAATAAAAATATGACCTAGTTATAAGATCTATTTAAATTAGTTGTTTTTTTTTTTTTTTTTTCTCAATGCATTGCATGTATACATTATTTCATTTCAGAAATTACGAACATATAATTCTTTATTGTGATTAAAATTAAAAAACTAGTCTATTTTGTTTCATATAACAATGTAATGATTTTCTTATATTATTATCGTATAATAATTTAAATAATATTTCTACATCTACAAAGTCAAAATACATATGGAACGTTAAATAAAATGATATAGTATTTATGTTTTATTACTTTTACTTATTTATTTATTTATTTATTTATTTTTTTTTTTTTTTTTTTTTTTTAATTGCTTTTCTTTTCAATACAATTTTATTATTATTTTTTTTTTTTATGTCTCAGACCTTAGATCTAACTAGCGCAACGCTCATATAACGAAACATATATATCGAACTCCTATTAAAATATAAGAATAGCAGAATGCAAGGTCATCAATTTATTGATAAACTTAGAAGCTGCAATAATTTTGGGAAAATTGACGTAAAGTTTATAGTTTTTGTATTGCCAGGGAAAATAAACATACGCTTGTCTCTATTGCCTATTACTTTTCGTAATTATTTCTTTTATATTTATATCAATTATATTATGGGTCTCGTGTAAAATATTATCGACAATTGTAAAACACGTTATTTTGGTGAATAGATACGACATTGATTTTATGTAAAACTCTAACACATCCAATTAATACCAGGAAAGTCCACTATTATTACGAAATTAATTGTCATAAGAATTTAATTCAAACCTTTCATTTCAAACTTCTCATAAAAAATTAATAAATTATTTTTAATTACATTGTATATTATTACCGATAGTTACGATAATATCGATAAATTTAAGTATGCTCATCGTATGAATAAAAGAGTACATTGTTCGTGTAATATTCTAATGTGATCTTATCTTTTAGATGAATTATATCACCTATATTGAATAATTAAAAAGAGAACAGACAATTTTGAATGATTTATGACAAGATTTGAGATTACTATGATAAATAATATGATAATTATAAGTCTGCTATTCGAACTTAACGATTAATTTATCAATTATTTCCTTATATGAATTAATAAATGGATAGTTTATATTTTACTTTTTAATTAATCATCTCACCTAAATACGTCGGCAGTTCGAAGATCCGGTAATGCTGGTGTTTTGCTTCGATGATCCAATCCTGTAAATGTGAATCGAGATTTTTGATGAGGTCCGATCATTGGAGTAGGTGGAGGTGCTCCAGGACTATCCGTATCACCGAAAATGAAATTTGTTGACGTCGTGGGCATATTATCGTATCCATTCTGAATTATGCTCGTCGTTGTATTCGTTGACGAAGTACCATTTATCTACAAATGAACGGTTATATTGATGAAGGAGGGATATTTGTATCTGATCGAAAGCATATTTCATTATATTGAAAATGAAGTGGTTCATTAATTAATAGGCATTATGTATCATTAAATATAAGATGCATGAATTTTTGCTTATAGTTATATTCAATATTGATAGAATTAGGGATATTTTGTAGTGCGTTTTGTAATCAATATAAATGAAAAATATCTCATAGTGGTTTTTTTTTTGTGCATATGTGAGAAAAGAGAGAGCTTGAATATATTGATGTTTATATTAATTAATACAATAGTTTCAATTGATACGGAAAATTAAGGATTAGAAATCCAATACTATTTCTAAATATTTTTGTATTAATAAGTCTGGAAAAGCTTCAAGAAAAATGTTGGCCATTGTTGGTTCAATAAAAATACTTATCCCCAGACTGGAAATGAGTTTTATTTAATTTTCAGTATTAAAAATAACTATTTTTCATTGAATTTGTTTTTAATTATTTACTCTTTACATTATAATTTGACCTTTATTTTCAATATATTGTATATGAAATTTTGGTATGATTAATAACAGTATGTTTCCATAATTCTAATGTTTTACTATATTTCTTCGTTGTTGTTGTTGTTGTTGTTTTTTTTTTTTTTTTTTTTTATATATATAATTAAAGAAGCAAAGTTCATAGTATTGGGACTGTAATATTACATTTTTGATTACGAGTGCTGAGAAATATATTTGATGTTATTTATCATTTTTTAGATTGTATTTACTACAAGTTTATATTTTTAATAAAATTTACACACAATATCATATAAATATTTAATTTACGTCTATTTTTGTTCTAATTGAAATTGAATTTATGAACTATAATTGAATAACTTTTCCAAATAAACAATCTACTTGATAAATTTATAATATAATATATATTTTTGTAAAAAACAAAAAAAAAAAACCATCTGACAACATGAAAATACAAGTTGTTCGTTCACATTCAAAATTTTTCATATTGTTTTACAACAACTAAATATGAATTGAGCGAAACTTCAAATTCTGAAACTAAAATTTTTAATAATTTATTAACAAGCATATTTATATAAATTTAACTTCTATAACGATGCATATAATCAAATATTTACTAGACTGGTTTATTAAAATTTTATAAAGTTTACTTCTGTTGAAATAATATGTAGCGAGTTCTTTCAAAATATACAATACCATAATGATACAATGATACTATAAATATATAGTTGTGTGCATAAATACATTGTATAAAAGTTCGAAAATATATTCAAACTTTAAATTGCTATTCATGTATCTCAAACACAAAAGTAATTGAAAATCTTTGAAGTATTATAGCGATGAAACGATGAAAATGATGTAAAAGAAAAATAAAGAAATTTAATTAAATATTAAAATTAAAAAAAAAAAGAAAAATAAATTTATCAATATTTAAAAAAATTAAGTTTATCAAATGTAAAAATCTTAGGATTTCTCTCTCTTTCTCTCTCTCTCTCTCTCTCTCTCACTCTCTCTCTCTCTCTCTCTCTCTCTTGTTTTAAAGATAAATATGAAAAAATATATATCATTAAAATTATTTATAAATAAGACTCTATTATCTATTTAATATTTCAATTTATTTATCTTAAATATCTGTCATTTAATTAAAAATAATAAAATTTTTCACTGATTATCACGCATTTCTTCGTCAAATTCATATTCTTAATTTAAAATACAATATTAATGTTTTTATTTGACCAATTGATAAGCACATCGTAAATTGCTTTAACTGACAATTCTCCTTGTTACATTAACTTTCACAATCCACAAAATTCTCTAATTCTATCTAATTCATAATTACGACTTTAATTTATTTATTATTATACTGTTTTAATCTGAAATAACCTTCTTTGCAGAATGGTAGATATTAGCCATTAAAAACAATGGATTTATTCGAATCTCAATGAATACTTTCGACAACAATTTCGGTTTTTGCTTGTCTCTCAGGGCTCGCAGCTCCCTTACCCCCCCCCCTCCCGCCCCTAAAAAGTCCTTTCACTTACTTGCGAAGTCGGAAGGCCATTTTCACTTGAATTCGCAGACTGCTGTTGCTCTTGATGGGCTGGTGGCGAAGCTACAGAAATAGGGACGCCATTGCTGTATGGCGATTGAATGGTCACGTCATTTACGGGCGGCGGGGAGAATTCCGGGGGCACGTCCAGATCGAGGCTGCCGTCCGTCGTTGTTACCTGCGCGCACACGTAGTGCTCAAGATTAAGCCTCGAAGCTCACTTTTCTCCGCGGCTCACTTCCATTTCAATCAATTAATCCTCTGCTCGCCGTTATATTGGATTTTTAAAGATTATTCGAGGCTCTTTGTCTGTTTGCCGTGCTTTTAATATTCGGGGACAAAATTAGAGCTCGCGATGCAATATTTAGCCTTGATTTAATCTAAATTTCATTTGACGCGATTAAGCTGCAATATTTGCATTAAATGCTTAATACGTTCCGTTCGGCTAGAAAGCTTATTTTAGTGGTAATTAAGTAGTTTATTTATCTAGAAGGCAATTTGGCATATCAAGTATTAATCGATGTATGCTTGCATATATGTATATTGTACTTGAGCCATTGTTATGGATTATTTTAGTAGATAATTTAGTAATTATATGTGAATAAAAATCACTAAACAACAGGCACGAGCATTATGGAAAATAATACAAATTTACGATCAACTCGATATTTAATTAAATTTTTAAATTAATAAACTCGAAAATTAAAAAATATATTCTAAAATTATTTTTATAAAACTTTACAAAAAGCTAATTACATTATGTAATTAATTTTTTTTATATTTACAGAAAAGTTATGAAATGCTATATACGTATTTCGTTGATTTTTCGTCGATCAAAGTTATTAAAGAAATTAAAGTATTGAAGTTTACTTAAGATAAAAATTTTTCCTTTCATTCGTGAGTTAACCAATAAACATTCATAACAAATATTTTATTTAAATTTAATAAAAATATTTTGATCCGATGTAGACATACATATGTATACATTGGTTATACAGTGTAGTTTGGCTATAAAAGCTTCAACGTGGTAAGAATAAAATAAATTCTTCCTCCTCGATATCAGATATAATTTATGTAAGAAATATTGCAATATTTTACAATATTAGTAATATAAAAATATATATATTTGAAAAAATATCGGAGTTACATTGTCACATTATTAACAATTTCCATTTTATCTAAGTGATTCGATGTTCCTCGTTAGTTTTTCATTAGTTTTTCCCAATTTCATTTTGTATGTTTGTCGTATAATATGTATTAAATATTGTAACTTGCATACGGTTTTTTTCTTTTTTATGTGATGTTATATTATAATAATTTTAACATTCTTTAGGGAATAGATTTGAGGCGTATTAGATATTAATTGTATCCGTATAAATATATTGTCTGGATATTATATTATCGTATTGATTAACTATATTTTTTTTTATGTTTATTGACATTAATTTAAAAATATTAATTAAATGAGCCTACGTTAATTTTTATTATATTTTGAGGAAATCTGAGCTATGGACATTTAAATTTTAATTAATAATCATCCGCAAACAAATATCGAGTATATTAAAATATTATATACTTATTGAATAATAATCTATTGAAATTTTTTTTTTTTTTAAATATTAAAATTAATTATATTAAAAAGATTTCATTCAAATATATTGTTTAGATTTTCATTCTATGTTTTTTAATTAAATACATCAATTATATATAACACGTTTAACATTCTTTTAATTTAATTATTATTTTTTTTTTTTAACCAAATTTAATTTAAATGTAAAAATTTATACTATAATTCATATACATGAATTTCTGTAATCTGAATAACAGAATAAATTTGATTTACGACTAGAGTTCTAAGAATAATTAACCGATCAAAAATTTTCATATTTCATGAATTAAAGAATCCTTATAAATATAAATAAACTAATCGAGTAATTTTATGTTTTATAATCAAAGCTTTTTTCATCTCTATACAAATTATATTAGATATGATTTTGTATTAAAAAAAAAAAAAAAAAAAAAAAAAAAAAATATACAATTAAATTTATTTAATACTTGAAGAATTATGTCCGAAAATTTTTTATAATGAAAAATTTGTGTTTAGAAGCTTAAATGAATTATTTATTTTTTAATATTGTGTTGAAGATATCAATTTATGATGTTGTTATTCGTAATTAAATGTATTGATTAATTGAAAATATATTTATTTTATGTTATCGATCCTTTTAAGAGTATTATTTATCATTTTAATCAAAATTTGCAATATTAATAATGATTTGAGCTATTGTCAATTAATAACGATTCAACGTCACCATTTCATTGAAAATCATTTTTTAATTTTTAAAAAATTACAATCATAGTCGGAAATATATTTGAGAAAGAGGACAATTTTTTAGTTTTGTGGAAGAATCCTTCAAATTTCAATTATGTGCTCATTTTAAATACAGTTTTGTTTTTTTATCATAAGAAATCATATTTAATACGATAAGAATTAATTATCGAAAATAAAAAGTTTAGATTACGTGCTTTCTTCCGAGCTGATTTAATTACAAACTACTTAATATACATTAATAAGTGACAATGAATTATTTTGGAAAATGATATTTAAAATTTGCATGCCGGGCGAATATTCGACACCCAGTAGTGAAAAAATCGTGAATAGTGAAATATTGCTTAAGCAGCGATTCACGTTGTATTACGACAAATAACAGATATATACGAAATAATAATCATGATAATAAAAATAGGGATTATATTTATAATTATCGAGAGTGATGGCAAAAAAAAAAAAAAAAAAAAAAAAAACGGAGTCGAGTGGTATGAGTTAATGGACAGAACGGATTCTGCTAAGTAAGCAAAGCAGACAAAGGATAGATAGGAGAGGCTAAAGTAACAATATCTGCTGAACAGCGAAAAGTCAGGATAACGCTAAGGAGGTATGAGGATTCGGGGGGGGGGTAGTGAGAATCTATCACTCGAGGGAGTCGATCATTAGGAGCAGAAGTGGAAAATCGAAGTAGGAAGTTGCGACTAGCGAGCGGATAAAGAGAGTCAAGTGACAGCGATAATGTACATGAGAGAGATACTTGATCTAATGCACACATTTGCCTGTTATTTTTTTATTATCATCGAATGAAGATTTATCATCATTATTATTATAATTTATAGTCTTAATTACTTGTATTTCGAAATCTTCACACACGAGATAAGGAAACGAACCTTCGGCACGTAATAAGTCTGATAAATTATTAATGTCTAGAATAAAACAATTTTGAAATCATTGTTATATAGACTGTAGACTACTATATTAAACGAATGGCAAATGTCTTATTTCTTAGTAAAAACAATCGAATAAAGATTATCAGTAATAATTGAATGGCGTATAAATCAATGCGCCTTAAAGTCAAGTTAATATTTTTCAATTCATATTTATTATAAAAATATTATATATATATATATATATATATAAAGTCTAAATTTTATGTATAAAATGGTCTAATAAATCCTATTGAATGACGTTCAGATTATAAATCATATAAATCATATAAGAATTATTTAAAGTAGTACTTTTGAGAAAACGATATCGTCTCATTTTTATGTGAGGCCAGTGTAAGAAAATAATCGATAAAAATCCATAATACTTTCGGTAAATTAGTACCAACCGACGACATCTTTTCAATCCAATAATGAAATACCATTTTCATGAAAACTTCGTATGTTTTTCACGACTCTAACGACTTTATCTTCCATCGAGCTCTACTAGAATATTAGAAAATTGAAAGTCTTGCAATTGCAACCGACATCAATAGCATTCAAATAAAAGAGACTGACTATGGTGACCAAGGTGTTGGCGCTGTCGGTACTCGTGTTGATGGTCGTCTCCGAGGCGGTGCTCGAGCCCATGACGATGAGCTTGGGCACCGTGCGGCTGCCGCCGACGGACTTGAAATGAAGTCTACGGAGAGCGGAGGCCGCCTGCGAGAGGATGTTGCCGTCGCGCGAGAAACCATTGGGTCGACGGTCCTCGCGCGACGACGCCAAGAGGACGCCGCTCGGATGGCCCGAGTCTGCCCTGCTACCCTTCGACGTTGGTCCCTTGTAGGGCGAGCCGCGATGCTCCGGGCATCCCTGAAACAGATGTCGTCGAGAGTTGTGCATTAGATGGGCCAGTGATATAAGCCATTTTCAATTTCGCGAGCTCCGTTATGGGTCGATGTTTTTTTTTTTTTAGTTATTGGGTGCATCGATGGGTCGATAGTCAATGTCTGATCGCAAGCCGACGTTTCCACTTAATCAGAAATTCATTGAACAGAGATTCATTTTTAATTTTTATAGGGTATTCATTGCTTTCGATATACTTCTTTTATATAAGTCACGAAGTATTTTATTGTATTGTGTTGTTATACGAGTATTTAAATAATTGAATAATACATTTGGGGTTTTTTTTTTTTTTTTGGTAACAATTAAATTTAAAAATTGAAACGACGTATTTGTACTTTGGAGAATTAACTTTAGAACTTTACTTCTCCAAGTATGGTCAACAAACAACAGGAATTTTAATCAATTTTACGCTGTTTCACAGAACATAGATAAAAATGACAATGAAAGAACTGCATATAATAGAAGGAAATGCATAATGCAATTTATAGATAATACATATGGCAATATTGCTTAGCTATAGAATAATATTAAAATGAATTCATACTTTATTAATAAATGGACAATAAAAAAAACACAAACGTATCCCAATATAAATAGAATGACAGTGCGTAATTGTTATATATTTAATTAATTTCATTAATACAAATTATTGTTTACTGATTAATTACGATAATTGTTTATACTATTTAAGACTCCATTCATATGGCCTCCAATCATATATTTTACGAATAAAATTTTTTTAAATTACCATTTTATTCGCTTATTAATCAACAAATCTTGATTAATTGATTTATTTAATTGGAGTTTTTGACATAAATTATTCAAATGTTTTAACTATCTATTTCGATTTTATTAGTTCATATTAATTAATTAATTTTAATACGTGTTTAATTACAATTTATTTAATTTTACATTAAATGGGCAGTACTTTTTTGAATATCTTCAACGATAAAATCTTTATGAATGGAGTTCAATTTTAATTATTATCTAACTTTATTCATCATTTAATAGTGTAATTAATTAATTTTATTCTCTGAGCAATAAATTTTGAACAATTTCATTCATATATCTACATATTTAAATTCGGCTTTTGGCTCGTAATATCGATTGCCTACTTCAATCTTATATTAACTTTAAAATATTTGAAATATTTTCTGATTTTAATTTGTATCTTATATAAATTTCTGTACTTTTTATTTGATAAAATCCTATTGTATATATTTTTAAATAATTACAGCTATTATAATTGTAGTAAAATATAAGGGTAACAACTAATATGTGGAAAACTTCAAAATAATTATATAATGCCATATATTAATTAAAAAAAACTATTTCATTATGCATGGATTTTAGAAAAATTGCTTTAATAACCTCGTGTATAACATTACCTTTTAAATTATCTTTAAAAAAATGCGATTATCGTATGATTAGGGTTATTATAGTGCATTACACTCATACAATTATAATATATCTAATTATGATTTCAAGAAAGCCTTTTTTTTTTTTTTTTTTTTTTGATTAGTCACGATATCTATTATCTTCGAAATTGTATATTAATATTGTAAAGATATTACAGTTATTATTACATACATATGAATTCATCATGTATTTTATGAACTTCATTAGAACGTGAATTTATAATTTATATTTCATAGATTAGTGGCTATTTACAGGATATATACGTTGCTTAAATATCATATTGTTAATTTTCCGAGTTGTCATATCATGTCAATAATAACAACGAATCATTTTACATGATGAATTTATACTAATAAAATAATGAATATGCATGCAATTATTTGAGCATTAATTAGACCAATATCTTTATCAATTATAAAGATAATTCAATGAAATTTTTATTAATATTTAGATGATTCAATGTAATAGTAGCAGATTATTTTAAAAATAATTTACAGCAGAGAAATTCATGATACACCCTTTCTCAGCCAATTAATAGTAGTGCACTAATTAAAATATATAAATCTCCCTGTTATGCAATTAAATTGTTATACAAACAGATATAAATTTGTAATAAAGGTATCTGGTATAAAATTTTTAAGTAAACTCTCATATTTTCCTAAATTATGTCGTATGTCGACTAAGAATAATAAAATGGGTTTAGTATTAGAATATGTGTCTGTAGTCTTATTTTAAGAAAATAAATCGTGCTTTTATAAAAGCTTTTCTTATTGACATACACCATTTTATGAACAAAGTTGGTATAAAGTAAATATAACATTTTGTAAGTATCTTTATAATAATAGAAGAAAATTTAAGTAGAGATTGTTATTCTTGACCAGTACACTAGAATTTGCATTATTTCAAAATTTATAACTTTACTTGCAAACTTTAACATAAAGGGTCTATGTACTTTTAGAATATATCACAAAAAATTATTGTTGAGACAGCTTGCGATTGGTTATATTTCTATATAACTGGAAATCATTTTTACAAACTTATATATATTCTGTTAATCAATATTATATTTTATTGTAACCTCTATTGATTGATAGATCAAAATTAATCCATCTAATTTATCTTAATTTTACGTACACAATATTTTTATCAATAAGACTTATATTTTGCGAGTTGTTCATTGAATTTTTATCCTTGTGCGCAATGTACAAATAATTACACGCAAGTATTATGAGTTGGATTAAGCTTTGAATAAGTTTATCCATCCCAACATATTGGGAGAGTTACATAAGAATTAGGTAATTTCAAATAATTGTGACGTAACGTTGCCGTGAGAAGTAGATCTCGCGAGTCAATAATGTCAAGGGACGGAACAACTAGATAGATTGGGAATGAAGTGGTGTGAGCAATTTCATAAAAATAAAGCAAGAGAGCTTGCCAAGATAAAAGTAAATATTTATTTTTCCGTTGATTTTTTTGATGTCGAGTCGGCACGATTACCGGATACGCGACAACAAAATAAAAAGGCAAAAGCATATTTATTTGAAGGGTTGATCCGGAAATGGTTTGAGGGATGGAAAGGATTGGTAAGGGAAAATCTTGACCGAGTATCGTATTATTTATCTTGATGGATAACCGTAACCTTATAATTATTTTATTTAGTTATCAGCTAGTATCAGCGTAATGCTTTTGAAGCAGAAAAATATCAGCGCCGATACTCAGCGAGTCGTTTCTTCACTTTACGACTTTTCAATTGTGGCTTTTGCGCAATTTTACGTAGTGCTCGAAGAGTCATTCGCTTGTAGTTGACAGACAAATCGGGCGTTCACAACTACACCTACGAGGCCGCATAGCCGCATTGGTACGTAGATTCCGTATAAGCTAATATTTTTAGTTTTTTTTTCTTTTTTTCTTTTTTATCGAAGGAGCGTCTTTTAGGTATGTTCCTGCAATGATTTAGCACCGTCACAGTGTGCGATTACCGCCGAATTTTCGAATTTTAAAATCATTGAATGTTTTACAATTTATGTATTATCATCATTTTTCTTTTGCAAAAGATTGCTACGGAAATTGATTATCAGGCATGCGCTTTAATTTATTTGCTTTTTTTTCAATTTGCATCTATTCATAAATTTTGTATAAAAAATATATGTATGGTGGACGTTACGTATAGAGAAATTATTTTCCTAAAAAGTAATTGTTTTTTATGAAAATTTTTGGTTAAAAAAAATTTTTTTTTTTTTTATATTTCACAGAAAAAAAGATAATTCTTATTTTTTTTTATTTTTTTTTAAATCATATGTAACAGCTTATAAATTAATGGTTTTAAATATATAATGCAATTAATTAAACCAAAGATATAATTATATAGTTCTTTGCTACAAAATACTGCATAACTACATGCATTTACTACATAACTACTAATGTTTAATTAAGTGCATCATTTGTATTTAGGTAACAGCCAAATTATATCTATTAATTATGTGAATATATAAATTAATATGTTTACATTTCAATTAATCATGTGCATTACCGTACACACTGCACAATGCATACTAGATTATAAGTTTTTTTTTTTTTTTTTTTTTTTTTTTTTTTTTTTTTTTTTTTTTTTTTTTTTTATTAACTTCCTATGTTTCAACAAAATATTCAATAATAATAAAATATATTTTATTCTCACGAATTAAAAACATTTATTTATTTATGGATAAGTTATGCATGTAATTGAATAATAGATTATTTTAAAAATAGCATAGCATACTTTTATATCTATCAGTGTCAGTTGTCTTTTTATTATTTTCTAATAATCATTAATTTAATCCGCAAAGATGTAAATAATTAATGATTACAATATATTTTTCTTTATAAGTACCATTTATAAACCTTTATACTTACCTTTATAAATTAAGTAATTAAGAATTTTCATTGCTTATTTGAGTTTGTGAAATAATTTTATTATAAAAGTATATTTGATTATATTAGTGGGTAGAATAAATAAATTTATTTTCATCTTTGTCTTGACCGATGCTCGTTCTATATTTTGTCAGTCTTTCAGACTTTTCTCGTTCTCTTTTATCTTTTTTCTCGTTCTCTTTTCCTCGCCCTTTACAGTATTCAGTTTCAGTTTTTCCCTTTATTTCTCGATTGTTGGTTGGAATTGTCGGTGTGAACACCGACCTTAATGATAGTGAGAGAGAGGGAGAGAGAGTGAAAGTGAGGGAGAGAGAGAGAGAGAGAGAGAGAGAGAGAGAGAGAGAGAGAGAGGGGGAGAGAATAAGATATATATGGTGGGGGGGGGGGGGGGGGGGGGGGGGTGAACATTTCGTACGATCGATTTCACTTGGGTGCTGCCGCGCGTTGGAGTGAACCAACGGCTTCTATAGGTCGGTAGATATCTTCTTATTAGTTGCCGTTAGCGCGAGTGAGTAAGCGAATGACTAAGCCAAATGTAGGTCACGTGTTGTTCTCTCCCCCCTTTTACTTACTCTCCCTGAGCCTCACTTGCTCACCCTTTTTATCTATCCTTCTTCATGCATTAAGCACATGGTCGA